CAAAAGTTCTCGGGGGGTTTAGGTTACCCCCCTCCCCCTGACATTTTTGGAGACTATAAAAGTATTGGTCTGAGGCTCTTCAAACTTTTTGAGTTTTCTAACTAACACATGCCCATCACTTTTGGCTCAAAGTGGGGATTTTATACCTACTGCCTGAGTCCTCAGGCATATTGCCTAAATACCTTATCTTACCTTTACCCGACTTAATCTATATTTAGACCTACCTCGGGTCATTGGATTTCGACTTCTTACAACTCTTTGGAAAGCCTTTAACAAAAGAAAGCCGATTGCACAACTTTTGCGAAGAAATTCTGCAAATATTTTAGCAGATTTAAATTTGCCGAAGCAATGGCTTTTCAAAACTTAATTCAGGATTAAAATATAAAAAAATCCACTCCACTGCAAAATTTCTGTATTTTATGTTTATTGGACTGTTAAAAATCAAAATTTGAGCCTAAAAGCCATCTCCATTTTTAGAAAAAGGTGTCTTCAAAGTTCACCTTGTCTAAAACATTTAAATCTTTTTCTCTCTGACTGCATGGTTTTTGAAAATAAATGTAACATTTTAAACTGTATTTCAATAAACTAGTTCATCAAAAAACGTTTATAACAAATGAAAATTATACTGGTTGTCGAACAAAATTTGTTTGGATAGTTTTGTTCTTTGGCCTGTTTTTAGATTTTGGTTTTCAACCTTTGCAATATATTTTAATCTTACGCTCAACTGATCATAACATAAACAAAACGCGTACTATATGTTTGTGTTACCTAGAAATTTAATTTTATTGGTCAAACAGGTCCAGATAGCAACACTTGAACTTTACAGGATGCAATACGCGTACTGTATGTTTGTGTTACCTTGAAATTTTATTGGTCAAACAGGTCCAGATAGCAACACTTAAACTATACAGGATGCAATATGCGTACTGTATGTTTATATAACACAAATGCGTATTTCCTACAGATGGCAGCAGGGGGAGAAAGGATTATAGAAAGTAATCAATTTGCTATAGATGTCTCTCGTTGCACTTTATCTCAGAGGTACAAAAATTAGTTGTCTGCTACAAGCAATTTAGGAAGGAGGTTTCTACCTGCCAGCGTATCTACATATATTATCTTTGCAATGCGGACGCAATTTATCTGTACCAATGCTTTACTATCAATGTCAATCTGGACATGATTTATCTGTACCAATGCTTTACTATCAATGTCAATCTGGACACAATTTATCTAAACCAATGCTTTACTATCAATGTCAATCCGGACACAATTTATCTGAACCAATGCTTTACTAGCAATGTCAATCCGGACACAATTTATCTGAACCAATTCCTAATCTATGTCTATCTTTCAATACTGTGATTCAGGACTATTCTTGTTCGCTAAACATGAAACAATTACTCTCTCAGTATAATCAAAGCAGAGTCTATTCCAACTAATTGTATTTTGGGTTCTAGGTTACATATTAAGTTTAATATTTTTTGTGTTGTTATATATCAATGTAGTTAAGCTAATCACAATACAGGTTTTACGTAGTTATTTACAGACGTAGCTAGCTAGGCTAGGTTAATCTCATCACAATATTTGCGTAGCTACTGATAAGCGCATTTAGATTTACAAACAATGTACAACGTAGTTTATGCAGGGGTAACTATGGGATCTGGTTCGGTATTTATTACATGCCAACTTATATATAACAAATATTTTTAATCAATAAATAATAAGATACTAGCTTGTGAACCTAGTTTTGTCTGGAACTAATTAAATTTATGATGGCACATAAAAACAGAAACTAAATATACACGCCAAACTGTGAAGAAGAAAAAATATAAATTACCAAGTTTTTGTTGTGATGAGACCAAAACTAAAGAAAGAGAAAGTATGAATCCAATCCAAACTTTCATCTTAAAACCTAATTAAAGGGACTGTAAGCGTAATCTCAAGTGACTCTCATTGCAAAAATAGCATTGTCTGATTTACAACGGTACCTGCCCTTTAAACATTAAATTAAATATATTCTAGTTTTTCTGATTCAAAAGGTGTTTATTTCTGGAAATTTCTGATTTGTTTCTTATAAGCAAGACATGGGCAATTCACAAAAACAAGCAGCTTAAATAAACAAAATCATACTTAAAAAAGGCGACATTTTTTTTTCAAATGGTCAAATTGTGATCAAAGTCAAAGTTTACTCGGATACAGAATTACAGACCGTTAAATCTGCGTGATTTAGGTAATTCTAAAATTACCTAAATAAGTGAACGGTCCCTTTAAAGCTCACCTCCTTGTAGTTGAGAAAGACTAGGAGTGAAACAGTTCTGATAGTTTAGTCAATGCCGTGGTTCATCAAAACAAGGTGATTAAAACATTTATTGCTTTAATTAGATCTGGGATTCAAATTCATAGTTTGCAAAACGTAGTAATCAAAAATAAACCCAGTACTTTTATTTTTCATATGCATTCAATGTTTTTCTTTCATAAATTCATGGCGTTTAAAACAAATATCCTACATTGAAATTGCATCTGATCCTTATATCTTTGTAACCTGGTGGTGTAAACCTTTGATTTCTCAAACTTAATCTAACAGAATTCATAGCTTGAAATACCTAAGGCCTACGACAATGGGTTGCAAAAATATAGGTTTTAGAAAATCTGAGTTATTTGCAAAGATTTAATATGAATAATTATAATAAGAACAAGAAGAAAATAACACAATCATAATAATAATAGTAATAATGAATTCTAAAACAATAATGACAAAAAAAACAATGTTGCCAGCACTAAAAACAAGTCATAACAACACTTTTATAGCTTTTTATAGTTATAAACACTTGGGACAGGACTACTTACTTTGTTTCCATAGGAATATTACAAAATACAGTAGGACCCATAAACATTTTGAATAGAAAACGACATTTAAGAATTCTGTTATATTTTTGATGTTTTATAAAGTAACTAGTTTTTTATAACTTGAAAATCAAATGATTTTGTTTTAACCCAACAAAAAGTTAGCAATCAATTTCAGTGAAAACATAATTTAACATGAACGTCTTTAGCGCATAATTAAATTTTATACTGAGCGGCATATATGTAATCTTTTAAAGATATTTCTTTATCTCACAATACCTTGTACATTATCATTCATCTTACAATTATTTATTAATGATAAAAATCAAATAGTGAGCTATCCCGAGAAGAAATTTTTTTCACATTTTCGCGAAAAAAATTTCCCCAAATTATTTTTTCACAAAATTTCGCTTCGTTTTTTGTTATTTGTGTGAAAAACGGCATAATTTTATCAATTCCTTTACTATTCATTCTTTCATTTTAACGCAACATATGTTAAGAATTATTAGCTCATTGCCAACAAGCTGCATTCTTAATAATTGAACTAAAGTTCGATCCTCCCCACTGGAAGAAGATTGGTGGAAACTATGAAAAAGGAGAATAAATATTTTGCAAATGGCATTGAAAGGGCCTCCCAAGGGCCATTAACATTTCAAGAAATCGCCGAGTCATTCCATCCTTCCAAGTTCAGTACTCCAGGGGTCGCGGGACCCGTGCATACTACATCGCAATCATTAGAGGTCTGGTTTACCACAGACCCCCTGATTGTTTCGAAATAATTTGCGAGGCATATGCCACCGGTCATAGAACAAGGTCAAGAAATATCAGCCTTTCTAATCAAACAAGTCATGTCAATGGGTGCATAGACCCTGCCACTGAGCTACATTGGCTTGTAGAATTTAATATTAAATTAGTCCTAATGTATAAGATTGAAGTAATTCTATTGATAAAATAATAACAGTAGCAGGGCACAAACCAACTACCCTAGCCGGTGCAAGTCACATCTCTAGATCCATGACCGCTGTACAATGTAAATAGAACGTGGCATTTTTATAACAGTATCCAATTCAATCAAACTTGAATTACTAAATTTTTAGTTACATTTATTTCTTTTTAATTATCTAATCAAGAAAAGTATTTTTTATCTGATTTGCAAATAATAACAATGTTCGTGTAGATTCAGTACTGCACTTAGAGTAACATGTAAACCAATTAGAATACAGGAAATCATGTTTCAATATTGATGAATCAAAATTATTGTTTAATCGAATTATGAACCTAATTTGAGGATAATTGAAAATCTAAATTTTAAGCCACGGTATTGTAGAAAGTTGTTTTCATGACTAAATAAATGCAGTTAAACAATTATGTTAAATTAATGTATTTCGCGGCATTTTAACGACGTTTGTGTGACTATCTATCTAACTTATGTAGATTCACCACTCAGTGCAGGACTCCTGTTTCCTTGCTCGAGATTTGTAGTAATGAATCAAAAGCACAGCTTAATCGAAAATTGAAACTTATGTGATGATAATTGAAACTTATGTGATGATAATTGAAACTTATGTGATGATAATTGAAACTTATGTGATGATAATTGAAACTTATGTGATGATTATTGAAATTCTACGCTTTAAGTCAAGTTAATGTAGGAAATTGTTCTTATGACTAATTAAATGCAGTTTAACAATTTTACAATGTTGAAATTTAGTGATTTCGCGGCATTTTTGACACAGTTTGTGTGTCTATCTATCTATCTGTTGATATGGACCTTGAATTTCACAAACCAAAGAATAACTTGGTTTTTTATTTAATTTTACATTTATGAAATTTTAAAGATGAACGGATCTTAAAAAAGAATATTTGCTTTTGAATAAGGCAAAGTTTTTTGAAGTTCTTCCTTGTTTCAAAAAGTTCATTTTAATAACATTTTCTGAAGCTGGGATGGGAACATTTAAAGAGTTTCAGGTCGTCATTAAAATCTCGTTCTTTGTGGGTAACCCTGCATAAAAATACCCATAAAAAACTGTATTTACTACTAGAAGTTCGGCACTCTTTCCTATCAAAAATTTTAGCTTTTAACAGTTGCGCAGTAAGTCTCAAGTATTTTATAATTTGCACGGAGTTTTCTGTTTAATATTGTATTTTTTCAAAATAATATTTCAGTTTTGATACTGTCCATAATCATGCCGTTTTGAAGTTTTTTTTTGGATACAAACAAACAAATAGACAGACAAGCAAAGTTTATATATAGATATATAAATATTTGTGGTTCTATTTAATATGGTTGTGAGCCCAATGGTTTCCAGTCCACCTCTCATACATAACATTTGGCCAGTAAGCCAGGTTAAACAGCATGAATATACAAGGCAAGGTCAGGCGGGTCAGCCTTTGTACCTGAAAATTCAAATCAATCATTTAAAGGAACTGATGGCGTTATTTTAATTGGAAGTTCTGATTCACAACAATTCAATCTTTTTTTTATGATTTTTTTCAAAAATAGTTTCTCTATTTCTCTATAAAAGTATAATTCATGATATTTCTGAAGCTTTAGAAGAATTGTGAGCATTTAGCACTTGTTCACACTAAAAAAGGTTGAAAGGGTACTTTTGTGAATTGAGTAGCATCTCTTAAAGTTAAGAGAGACTAATGCAAGATCTTCAAAGAATGAAAGAATGACTTCAGCTCATGTTGGATAAATTCAATATGAGTTTCATATCCCCATATAAACTAAAATTTTAAAATCTATTAAAAATTCACCTTTTTAGCCAGTTTAAACCGTTTTTGCCGGATGAGAATGAGGATTGAAATGAACTCAACCATTGTACTAGAGGTAAAATTTTAAATTATTTAAAGATTTATTGATTATTTTTCTTGCTCTGTGTCGTAGCAAGGAGATATTTAAGCTGTATTGGGCTTTGTTTTGGTTCGAAATTTAAAATTTTGGAATGAAAGGAAGTTTTGATCTCTAAACCTTTTTTCAAATTTAAAACTAAATATTTCAATTCATTAATAAAAACTAGAAAGTATGAAATATGAACAGTAATAATCAGAAAACTCTGAAATAGGAAGACGACTTTTAGAATCAAGGTTTAATTTTAAAAATTCCAATGAGCATGAGACACATGATTGTGCAGTTTAAACAGACCCATTTCACTAAATTAGTGATTTAATAAGTGTCTAGTAAAACTATAACGGCAAATTCACTTAAAACTATAATGTCGTTTTTTTATCCATTGTTTACTAGTTATCACTGTAATTGAATTTAAAAGTTTTTTTCTTTGTTAAAAAGTCTGTATAAACCTGAAAACGAAGAACATACAGAAAAGCATCCAAACATCCAGATAAGTAACATAAGATACTTTGGGTACATGAGCTCTATAGATTTATTTAAACATAATTAAAAACTTAGAAGGAGGGTCGATCTGTAAAAAAATACATTTTAAAAGCTTTATTATTTTACCATCAGATAAAAATACTTTTCTAAAACTAAAATTTTCTAATCTCAGTATCTTAACGAACTGAAGGTTTAAGCCGTTTATAGTTAGAACTTAGACTTTTTTAGCAAACTTAATAGTTTGAAATAAAAAAGGTACGTGACATTAGTGTGCAAAGATAAAAAAGTTTGCAAACCTAGGTATTTCAAACTGTGAATTTTGTAAGATCAAATATTCTAAGTTTGAAATATGAGAGGTTTACAACATCAGGTTGGAAAGCTATAAAGATTAGAAAATTTCAGTTTGTGTCAAACAATCAATTCCTTTGGGTTAGATCTCTACTAATTTAGTTAGCGTGTATAAGGAGAAAATAGTTGAAAACACCTAATAATGCTAAGAGGTAAAAAGACCAACAAAACTCAAGGAATTCTAAAAAATATTCTTGATGCGCGGCAATCTCGATCAATTGCGCTCGAGGGCCAAGTTAAAGACTCCCCTCCTTTTATTGGTATTTTTAATTATGTAAAATCCCTAGTGCTACTGAACATAGATGTCTGAGTTAGTAGAGTAGTTGTTCCCATTCCTACTCTTCCAGGTATAGAGTCAGGGTTGATAAATAGACCCATCCAACCTAGAACCTAGACATAGGTTGATAAATATAGAACCTATACATAGGTTGATAAATAGAACCATCCAACATAGAACCTAGATACATGTTGATAAATAGATCCATCCAACCTAGAACCTAGATACAGGTTGATAAATAGACCTATCCAACCTAAAACCTAGATACAAGTTGATAAATAGATCCATCCAACCTAGAACCTAGACACAGGTTGATAAATAGACCAATCCAAAGTAGGCCCTAGGCATAGGTTGACAAGTAGACCCATCCAACCTATAACCTAGATACAGGTTGATAAATAGACCTATGCAACCTAGAACCTAGAGACAGTTTTGTCCAAGAAACTATTCAGAAATTGAGTCTTTGCCATGCAAAACTTGATTCTCTAATACCTCTAATCTTCGCAGCCCAATTCGTAGACATTAGATATTACCAATTATGAATGCTGCGAGATCAAATAATCTAAGTCTTAAATATCACCATAAGGTATAAAGATATAGGGATTAGAAAATCAGAGTTTGTGGCAAAGACTCGATTCTTTTCGGAATTTTTAAGGAAAAATTTTCAAAGAACATGGATTTGGAAAATATGAAATCGAAGCAAGATAAAAAGAATGATTTTATGTTTTGATTTACTACACTGAGATCAATGAAAATCTGGAATAGGAAGATGACTTAAACTCAAGTTTTATTTCAAATAGTGTACTGCACATTAAATACGGCCAATGTACAATGTATACACAAACTTATTTTACTCTATAAGTTAATCAATACTTTTTAAAAACATCAAATGCACATAATATCTTACCAAAAATAACGTAGATGGAATATAAGTCTGTACGATATGATAACCAATCTCTCTGGTCAAATGCAACTAAAATATGAAGCATTTTTACACTTTTTAAAGTCTCATTTACAAAATAGTTTTAACTTTAAAATATGACAATGTCCATATTTCATTGATTAAATCTTTGAATTTTTTTTTATTCATGGTTAATGGATTTCAACGCTCCCCCTATAGTTTTTCTACATAACTTAAAAAAACGACTTGGGCTAGAATGTTCAAACATCTTCACATTTCAAATTCAAAATTGAGTTCAATTTGAGTCTTTGCCACGAACTCAAAATTTCTAATCCTTATATGCAACCTGATAGTCTAAACCTTTGATATTTCAAACTCAGATTATTTTATTTAGTTGAGTTCATAGTTTAAAATATCTAAGGTCTACGACATTGGGTTGCGAAGACATAAGGATAAGAAAATCAGAGTTTGTGACAAATACTCAATTCTTTGTGCAAAAAGAAAATGAGTTAATGCACATGATAATATGTATGCCGAGTCAATGAGCGCCTGAACCAATCAGGGTTCAGTCATGTGTTTGTTGTCTATTCTGAACCAATAGAAATAGTATGGCGGTAACATCTATCTTTCTATCTCATTATTCAATTAGAGATATGAATCCTACAATCGACGCTCTCAGTAAATGGACATATTTATATTCTTCTACTGAAACTATAGTGGAGGGTCAGAATGGGAAGTTTGGTTAAAAAAAATCAATATATTTTTTTTTATTCAAAGCTTCATATCTAAACTTTACATATTGGAAAATAATTCAAAACTTTCAAAAACAAAAATTTTTAAAGATGAAATGTAGAATTTGTGGTAGTAACATGTATCATATCCCCCTATTTTAACTCTGAGGGCAAATCTTCTTCTCCCCCCCCTCCCGGCCCACACCCCACCTATAAAAGAAAGACAAAATGCATTATCTGGGATAGGGTTAAATAGTTACAGAGTTACCCACAAAGGATGAGACTGTAAAGACGACCTGAAACTCTTTAAATATGAATGACGATTCCAAGATCAAATTAAGGTTTTACCCTTGACTATAGTCATTGTACGTATATTAAAAATTTGAAATAGAATGAAACAAGTTTACGTTGCAGGAAACCATTAATACAAGGAGCAGACAGTATAAATATCGTACAGTCGTCTCTGAAGTCTCATCCTTTGTGGGTAACCCTGTATATGTAAAATGTTCTAGGATATTTACATTTTTACATTTTAACTGCAAATGAAAACTGTTTTTTTAATGATTGAAAAAATCAATCATTTAGTTTTGAATTAATTTTTTATCTTAAACCTGTAGTTTTAGTCCAGGGTAGCTGATATCATAATAGTCTGTGGAATACGAGTCCATGGCATGAATCCTTTAAAAGAATATAATTATGTAATTTCCAAGAAAATTTGGAACCAATCAGAGGATCGTGAATCTTGCATGCTTGATCTTGAAATCCAATTGAGGACACTTTCAAATTTGAGGGTGGATGGGGAGGGAGGGGGAAGGGAGGTAGGGGGAAAGTGGAGGAATGGAATGAGGTGGATGGGGAGGTTGTAATTTTTAGAAATAATATTGAACCAACCTGAATACGAATTGTGATAAATATATATGCTCGTTTACGTTAATACTGTTCGGTATCCAAGTGAAATGAACCTAATCAAAACAAACTTTTATTAAAAATATTGTAAATCCACCAAATTAAAAAGAGAAAAAACTGCGCATTGTTTATTTTTTTTTGAATGAACAAAAAAAAGGTTGTTAGAGATAAGTTTTCAAAAGTTTAGCCACATACTCAAATTTTCTAATCCTTATATCTTTGCAACCCAATGTCGAAACCCTTAGATATTTCAAGCTATGAATTTTGTTAAATCCCATTATTTAAGTTTGAAATGTCAAAGGTTTACAACATTAGGTTGCAAAGATATAAGGATTAGAAAATTTTAGTATGTGGCAGAAGCTCAATTGTTACTAGATAGAGGAATGCACAGCGCTTTAAAGGCTAGTTAAACAAAAGTTTATTAAATTCATGTTAAAATCTTGCTAGTTTCTATGAAAAAGGCGTTTATGTGTAATAAGAAAAAGGATTAAGTCCTTTAAAGCAAATCGACCGTAAAATAAATCAACTTTGTTACAACTTCCGACAATGAAAAATATATATTTGTTATAAAACCTTGGAAAACATTAAAAAATATCCTAACAACTGTATTTTGACCCCATGCCTGCATTACATATATGAGCTATTTGTGATATCTGTCGAAATTTTTAAAAATAAAAAAATTATTAAAGTTAAAGCTTTAACCTTTCTTTTAACGAGTAAGACTGGACAAGATTGTTTTGAATCTTCATGACAGAAATTTTAAATCAATTAGCGTATTATTTTTGGAAATCCCCCAAAGTACTGTATACAGAGTGGATTACGGCCTGTACAATTAGTAAAGGATTATCGTTAAACGAGAGCATACAGTGGGCGGCGATTATATCAATACAATGAAAATAACTTTTTATTGATGATGTTTTGATCATTTTTTAAATTACAAGTTTACAACTTAAAAGAAATAGGAGCTGTTAAGTGACAACTTTTCTTTGTTTACATGCACTGTTTGTAAGCAATTGGTAAAAAATCAAAATGAATATATACCTGACTACGCTGAAGACCAAAAGATTGAAACTTGAGTTCACATGATTGATCGTCGGCTGGATAGTTTCTGAAATCCATGTTACATGCAACATCAAAGTTTATCCTAAAAATAAAAATTAACGAAAAAATAATTTAAAACAAAACTGACACAAATTGCATAATTCCATTTATAGTGTTTTTATTTGGATAATTCTGTAATAATCCTGAAGAAATAAAGTTTAAGATTTAATATATTTATTTAAAATTCTGGGTTAGTTATAGACGAAGGCAATATATGTCCACAAGACTGTGTTTATCATGGTGAATAGAATTTATAAATTTAAAATGTTTTACGTCTAAATATTAAGAGAATAGATTCTCTAAGCATAATTATTTTTCATGAACTAACTCCTCTCCAAATTAATCTCAGACAACATATTTATAAGAAATTGTAGATAATTGTATTTTCTAATTGAATACATTTATCAAGGTACCTGGCCGAGTATCTTATTGTACTGTCATTGTACACCCTGTTCACAAGTACATATAAATCACAATTATTAATTATTATTGATATATACCCCCCCCCCTTCCTTTTATCTCCGTAAACCCTGTAAATATGACAAACTTAGTGTTGCAATATTCACTAATGACTCTTAATTTAAATATTCATTAAATATTCTGGTTTTTCTTGTTTGGGCTGAAATTCCATTAATCCTTTAAGTCCTCTTCTCCATTGATTGATTGAAAATATCCATTAACAAAAAAAGATAAATTAAATCCCTAAAATCCACCACTCCGACACAAAAGACACATGATATCATCTTCATGCTTGGAATGCAAGTAAACTTCTGAAAATAATGTTCTCCGAGAACATGAACATTTTAGAGCAGAGAAGAAACAGAAATAACTTCACAACAATACCCTTGAAATCGTAATATCATCAAAAATATGGAAGAGAATGCCATTTGTTTAACATGAACAGTGTTAGTTCATGTTTATTTCTTCATTGCTTCTGAAACAAGAAATGCGCAAGTCACTTTTTCATCATACTGGCCACCTTGTCAATGGATATTCATTTAAAATAACGCTTACAGTCCCTTTAAATGTGATAAATATATATTGTCCTGAGTGAAGCTGGTTTGCTAAAAAATGTTGGAGTTCGAATAGTTTTGGCATGATCTGCAATACAATCATAATATAAACAATTTATAACAATCATCTTCTTCGCTGATTAATTTTTAAATAATATTTAAATGTTGTTTGACATTCTAAAACGACGAAGACAAAACAAAAAATGAAACGATCGTTTTTAAAAACGATCTTTTTAAAAAAGCGGTGGTAGTGAGGATAGTGGGGAAATGAAAAACAAAATTCATGAATAAATTTTGATAAAAAAGTTTCAACAAGTCGGTGGTGGTGAGGGTAGTTTGAAATAAAAAAACAAATACTTGAATAAATGTTGATATATAGATTTTCAAAAGTCGGAGGTAGTGAGGGTAGTGGGGAATTGAAAACAAAATTCTTGAATAAATGTTGAAAAAAAACGTTTCAACAAGTCGGTGGTAGTGAGGGTAGTTTGAAATAAAAAACAAATTCTTGAAAATGTTGATATATAGATTTTCAAAAGTCGGAGATAGTGAGGGTAGTGGGGAATTGAAAACAAAATTCTTGAATAAATTTTGATAAAAAAGTTTCAACAAGTCGGTGGTGGTGAGGGTAGTTTGAAATAAAAAAACAAATACTTGAATAAATGTTGATATATAGATTTTCAAAAGTCGGAGGTAGTGAGGGTAGTGGGGAATTGAAAACAAAATTCTTGAATAAATGTTGAAAAAAAAAGTTTCAACAAGTCGGTGGTAGTGAGGGTAGTTTGAAATAAAAAAAAAAAAATTTTTCAATTCCCCACTACCCTCACTACCTACGACTTTTTAAAATCTCTATATATCAACATTTATTCAAGAATTTGTTTTTTATTTCAAACTACCCTCACTACCAACGACTTGTTGACATCTTTTTTATCAACATTTATTCAAGAATTTTTTTTCAATTTCCAACTGCCGTCACTGCCTAGACAAAAAGCTAAAGCAATTCATAAAGAAAATATAGAGGAAGTTTAAAGAATTTTAAAGTTGAATTTCTTGCTAATATTTTTTTTATAAAGATTTTTCCAAAAAATTCTGATACTTTTTTAAGAAAAATATCTGCTAACTACCATACATACCTATGTTTATAAAAAAATTCACCTATTTTTCAGCATAAAAATACATTTCATACGTTCACTGTTTAACCCCCCCTGGCACAGGTGGTATAATACCTAAGAATATATCTGGCATCCATATTGTATTTGCTAGCGAAGAATGAAGATTAGTATAATTTCCACGACTATCATAACTTGACAGGGCTTCATACTGAAAACAAAAATTAACCTAAAAACGTAATTTCAAGTAAACCTCCATTTTGTATCCTTGATTTGATAAAGAAAACGTGTTTTTTCTATAGTTTCAAAAGAAATTAATTCTAAAATTTTCTCCATGGTTTTCTGCAGTGAAACTATAAACATTGATATCTAATTCATTCTTGATCAAGCAACTAGCTATAAAGGGTACCCTTGAGAATTGTGCATAATACTTTATAATTGGAAGGTCACTTGAAATAACGTTTACGGACCCTTTAAAGGGACTGTTCAAGATAAAATATCTCTTTAATGGGACTGTAAACAGACATATATTCTACAACGACACCTTGAATAGTCTTGTCTGTTCAAGATAGAATATCTCTTTAAAGGGACTGTAAACAGACATATATTCTACAACAACACCTTGAAGAGCCTTGTCTGTTTAAGATAGAATATCTCTTTAAAGGGACTGTAAACAGACATATTTTCTACAACGACACCCTGAATAGCCTTGTCTGTTAAAGATAGAATATCTCTTTAAATGGACTGTAAACAGACATATTTTCTACAACGACACCCTGAATAGCCTTGTCTGTTCAAATTAGAATATCTCTTTAAAGGGACTGTAAACAAGCATATATTCTACAAAAACACCCTGAATAGTCTTGTCTGTTCAAGATAGAGTATATCTTTAAAGGGACTGTAAACAGACATATTTTCTACAACGACACCTTAAATAGTCTTGTATGTTTAAGATAGAATATCTCTTTAAAGGGACTGTAAACAGACATATTTTCTACAACGACACCCTGAATAGTCTTGTCTGTTCAAGATAGAGTATATCTTTAAAGGGAATGTAAACAGACATATTTTCTACAACGACACCTTAAATAGTCTTGTCTGTTCAAGATAGAATATCTCTTTAAAGGGACTGTAAGCAGTCATATTTTCTACATAGACACCCTGAATAGTCTTGTCTGTTCAAGATAGAATATCTCTTTAAAGGGACTGTAAACAGACATATTTTCTACAACAACACCTTGAATAGTCTTGTCTGTTCAAGATAGAATATCTCGTTAAAGGGAGTGTAAACAGACATATTTTCTACAACGACACCCTGAATAGCCTTGTCTGTTCAAGATAGAATATCTTTTTAAAGGGAGTGTAAACAGACATATTTTCTCCAACGACACCCTGAATAGTCTTGTCTGTTCAAGATATAATATCTCTTTATAGGGACTGTAAACAAGCATATATTCTACAACGACACCTTAAATAGTCTTGTATGTTTAAGATAGAATATCTCTTTAAATGGACTGTAAACAGACATATTTTCTACAACGACACCATGAATAGTCTTGTCTGTTCAAGATAGAGTATATCTTTAAAGGGACTGTAAACAGACATATTTTCTACAACGACACCTTAAATAGTCTTGTATGTTTAAGATAGAATATCTCTTTAAAGGGACTGTAAACAGATATATTTTCTACAACAACACCTTGAATAGTCTTGTCTGCTCAAGATAGAATATCTCTTTAAAGGGAGTGTAAACAGACATATTTTCTCCAACGACACCCTGAATAGCCTTGTCTGCTCAAGATAGAATATCTCTTTAAAGGGACTGTAAACAGACATATTTTCTACAACGACACCTTGCATAGCCTTGTCTGTACAAGACAGAATATCTCTTTAAAACAATTATTTTAGTAGTGGTTTCTCTATAAAAGAGACAAATTTCTGTCACAGGTCTAGTAAAGGATATTGTCAGAATTGAACACATTTGAAGCTAAAAACATGACGATATCTTCCTCTTATCATTAATCAGATAAAGCTAGAGGTTTACAGGATACATTTTCAACGAAGAAAATCCCTATTTTGACGGATTAAAAAAAATAAACCCAAAATATTAAAAATAGAAAAAAATTATCTTTTCGAAATGTTTTTCATTTTTTCCTTTGAGAAAGGAACTGACATCAATTTACCTGAATCTCAAATCGACCTTCTTCCACCAAAACATTTAAAATAAAGGAGTTGACATGAATTTTTTAAAATCCTAAATCTAGATTTGCAATATATCTTTGGAAACTGATGGTGTAAACCTTTAATATTTCACCCTTTGACAATTTAATCCGGCCCATCACCAGGTTGGCACATCATCAGGATTAGCTAATTACACTTAAAGTTTGAAGGTTCAGTTTCTTTATGAATTTATAAAATCAAACCTTTGGTTTTATTCTTGGGTCCTTCCAGTATAGTCTGAAAAAAAAGATGATTAAGTTTCATTAAAATAATCATAACGGAATTGATTTTTTGTCCCAAACTGTTTTTTTCTAATCCCTATATCTTTGAAACCCAATATTGTAGACCTTAAATATTTATATGAATTTTGTGAAATGAGATATTTTTGTCTTAAATATTAAAGACTTGATTCCTTTATAAGTTTTTCTATACAGTTAAACCATAAATAAGCCATATTTCGAAAGAACTCATTAAATGTCGTATTCTTTACTTTCTGATAATGGAATGTTATAGATATTTAGCTTTTTAATTAAATGATTATATGGAGCTCTTTAAAACTGTTCCCGCATAGTCATGGCGATTTATTTATTTTCGCAAATACTGAGATTTACGTAAAATAATTTAAATTTAAATTTGAAAAATTGTCAAGACGACATTTGATAAATTCTTCCGATGTATTTAGTGTTTAACTGTAACCTTTATTCCCACTCAAATCTTACCTCAAAGTAGTTTCCATTGAGACAATTTGATCTTTCTCATCAACTTCTAAAATATTCCTAAAATATGCAAAATATTACAAATTATTCACAAATTAAATAAGTCTGATTTTCTATTCCTATATATCTTTGCAACTCTAGACTTGGGATATTTCAAACTTTGAATATTCAATCTAAAAGAATTCATAATTTAAAATTTTCTAAGGTTGCAAAGATATAGGGTTTAGAAAATTGGAGATTGTTGCAAAATATCAGTTCTTGAAAAATATTTGAGAAAATAAATTTATCTGAAATATTTAAAAAATATTTTCACATTTTAAAATACATTTAAGGAAAGTTCTTGAATTTTAAAAGATCAAAACTTTTGATCAACCTTTAGTTAATATCTTTAAATTGCTTGGCATTCAAATGTACATTAAAGGCAAAAATTGTTTTAAAATGTATTTCTTAGCTAACAATTGGTAATTGTCCAATAGTGTTTAAAAAAGATATTAAACTTAAATTATGCGAATGTATTTTTTTTTATTTTTTAATGATTATTAATTACTGATTGAAAGGAGACGAATTTTTTTTTCAAACTTGAGGCAATTTGAGATGAGGGTCATGGTTTAAACCTGATATTAATAGAGGCAGATATAAGAAGAGGCTGTTGGTTTAAACCTGATATTAATGGAGGCAGATATAAGAAGAGGCTGCTGGTTTTCCGTTCTCGGGATCTCATGGAGGTTATAATCATCCTCTACGATTAACTAAATAGTTTATATACATATATATATATTTTATTTGTTTCCCATATTCCATGGCAAACACAGAACAAGAATAACATTATTATCAGGAAGCATGTTAACATCCTATATAAGTTTCTATCGCTGTAAGTAAAGTAATTCAGGGGTTACAACTTTTGAATGGAGTGTGCGTAAATCTTCATCACTTGATCTCGATATTCAATGTTGGTACTTTTAATGCTTAATTCCTCAATTAAAACTATCCCTGCACGGTCTGACCACCACGAGATATTAAAGAATTAAAATAATCTTTAGGTCGCCCTAGGATGGAGGTTAATGCTTGATTACGAAATTTATAACTTCATATTCGTTTGCTAATAATAAAACTTATAGGGGCCACTGTATAGTGTACAGATTCTATTTAGTCGCAATAAGAGGCAGAATTCCTTCCAAAACCTGCATTACATTGTATTTGTACTTTAATATCATATATTTATATTTTTTTTAGATTTGTTTCAAGCATTTTAGGTTTATTTTTTATTTTTAAGAATCTGCACAAATCAGAGAAGTTTAACTTATTTTATAATTTGAAAAAAGAAAAAAATGTTGCTAATTATAATAAAAGCAAACTTAAAAACGCTTTTTGCTACGTCGTATTAAAAAGCTGAGATTCATTAAGAGCAAATAAAAAGCCCAACAAAACTCATACTTATACAAACACTGCCTTCTTTAGATTCAAACACAATATATACCTAGAAGGTGAGGGACCCATAACAATACATTTCATAGAGTTATTATTCAATTTAAAAACTAACTGTTAAAACTAACTGCTTATTTTTCGACTAAAAAATACGAAAAAAACTCTCATTGTAATTAGCACTTTTTAGAATTATAAAATATTTGGTGGTTCAAAAAAGTAAATATATACATGGTTTATTTCTTTGCTTAATCATTTGTATTTGAATAAAAAATTTGAAATATGAACCTATTAAAAGACTTTATTCAAGACAGAACATTTGATTTAAAATGTTTTAGGTCGTCTTTACAGTCTCATCCTTTTTGGGTAACTCTGTATATCTGTCAATGGTTTAAAGTCATACAGGGGAATCAAATCAAAATTATTTATTAACAACTTTTACATGCAAAATGTCAAGGGAATTGGGTCTTTGCCACAAACCTAAATTTTCAAATCCCTATATCTTTGAATCCTGATGATGTAAACCTTTTATGTTAGATTATTTGCTCGAACAGAATTATCGTTTGCAATATTTAAAATCTATGGCTGTGAAGATATAGAGATAAGAAAATCAGAGTTTGTGGCAAGGACTTTTAACCCTATCCTGATTGGGCTATTTTTTTCAAATATAGATTGATTTCACCCTCCCCCCCCTCCCCCTTTTTATGAATTTCCCCTTAGAGTTGAGATAGGGTGTGATACATGTCCCTGGTCCAAGGCCTGCTCATAAAAAAAATTATACCTCTATCTTTAATTGTTAGGGTGCTAGGGAGCATTTTAAAAAGTTTTAAAAGTACGTCGGAAAATGTTATGCATGAATTTTTTTACTTTTGACATTAATAAAAAAGTTATTAACCATTTCTGAATTTTTTTTAACACCGATCTGCCGTTGGACTGTCCTCCACCCTACTCTTTGCATCAAGAAAGAAAGATTTTAGCAAAAGGAGTTGAGTCTTTGCCACAAACTTTGATTTTTAAATACCTATATCTTTGGAACCAAATGTCGTAAACCTTTGATATTTCAAACTTATATTATTTCATCTAACAGAAGTCATAGTTTGAAATGTAACAGGTCTACGACATTGGAATCCCGAGATTTAGGGATTAGAAAATCAGAGTTGGTGGCAAAGACTCAATTCCTTTGTTCACAACTATGAAGTTGAAAAAATGAAGATGTTTTAAAGTTATTTAAAAAAAACCACAAGGGGGTGGAACCCCCCCCCCCCCATCGTGATAGAGTTAAAGACATCTCTTGATGTTTTTTGAGACATTCTGTGGCTGTACGCACACAACTTTGATTTAATAAACGGATTTCTTGAATTATATTTTTAATATGATCATTATAAAAGCCTGTGTGCATCATACACTTTTTCTTATCTCTACAAATACATGTGTACTAACATTATTTACCATAGTTCAGCTTTAACCCGTGTTTGTGGTCACTACTAATTGTTAAAGCAAATATGGAAATCTACTGCTTAATCTTTTCTCTTATTTCTGTAACAATGGGATTTCATATTGGAGATACTGTGGAGGTAAGGACTTTAACAAAGGTCTGATCAAAAATTCTTTAAACGAATATATATGGGATCAAGAATCCTTTAAACGGATATGTATGGGATCAATAATCCTTTAAACGAATATATATGGGATCAAGAATCCTTTAAGCGAATATATATGGGATCAAGAATCCTTTAAACGAATATATATGGGATCAAGAATCCTTTAAACAAATATATATGGAATCAAGAATACTTTAAACGAATATATATGGGATCAAGAATCTTTTAAATGAATATATATAGGATCAAGAATCCTTTAAACGGATATGTATGGGATCAAAAATCCTTTAAACGAATATATATGGGATCAAGAATCCTTTAAGCGAATATATATGGGATCAAGAATCCTTTAAACGAATATATATGGGATCAAGAATCCTTTAAACGAATATATATGGGATCAAGAATCCTGTACAACTGATATGTATGGATTTGTAAAGAACAGTTAAGTTATTAGATACAAGGAGTGTAGGCGTGCAAACCTCTATTTAAAGGGAGTGTTCGCGAAAAATGAAAGTGGGTACAGGCTTCAATGTGATTAAATCTATATAGGCTTACGGTGAAAAATAAGCGCTTTTGTTCGCTACTAATCTTACTTCTATTTGTTGCGTCTATAAGGAGAAAATTGTAAAAAAAACGACTAATACCGAAGAACGTAGCGTCCATACAATTCCAAACAAATAATTCAGATATTACAATAATAGTCATCGATTATTTTTCGGAAAATTCGTATATAGTTATTATTTCATAATATTCTAGATTTTTTTAAAATAATGTTTCGCTGGCGCTGGATTTTCGAACATTCCTGGAAAATATGAAGATGTCGTCTTCATTATCAAAAATCCTCGAAACAGGAATAAATGTTTTTAAAAGTAACCATCAGATCATAAAAAAATATCTAGTCAAAAATATGTTCAGCTTAAAAAATGTTTAATTTTATTCATTTCTTCATTGTTTTTGAAGCAAGATTGCTTTACAGAGAAACCACAAAGGAAAATTATCAGTTCTCAAAATTATAAACAGAATTATATCAAAATTATAAACAGATTTATACTTGACCAGACAACGCTTTTAGGAAACCTTTGTAATACCATCTTTGCATGGAGGGTCACTTGAAATTAAGTTTTTGCAATCGATCACTTAAATTGAAAAATTTCACAAAATAAGGCTAAATTTAAACTATTTCTTTATAAAGGTTCTCTTTCTTTGTGTCCGATTCACTACAATACCCTTTAAACCTTTGTCTGATAAGTGATGGAGTGCTTTTGTATTTCATGCACAAGCATGGTTGTAGTTGTTGATACTGTTGTATCCAAGCTGTTTTATTTTCAAAATATTATCAATTTTTCCCGGATGTCACATCATCAGAAAGTAAACAATCTTTTTTAAAAAGATGATTTTTGTCTTGAATCCCTCTAATTTAAAACTTCAGATGGTCATTGTTGAAACCAGATTTTTTCAAAACACGCTGATTTATCCATTCAGTCCTGATCCCAGAAAACTATAAATTTCAAACACAATTTGGATTAAAATAAAAAAGTAAACAGACAACTCACCGTAAGTTTAAAAATTGTTGAATTTAGGAGCTAACACGTGATTGAATTCAATTAGAAGAAACTCGCCCCGGTTAGTCCAGGGTGAAAGAAAATGTCATTTAATTTCAGAAAAATTTGAATCAATGAAATTTAAACCACATACGGGCCAACAACATATTTGGTACACTAAACGGGCCGGTATGGTAAAGACTAGACCCGCAAGTTGAAACAAGGGTGAAATATATTTAGGTTGAAGTAAAGCATAAAAGTTGAAACGAGGATGAAATATATTTAAGTTGAAGTAAAGCATGAAGCTAAAACTATAAAGTTGAAACAAGGGTGAAATATATTTAGGTTGAAGTAAAGCATGGAGCTAAAACTATAAAGTTGAAACAAGGATGAAATATATTTAAGTTGAAGTAAAGCATGGAGCTATAAAACTATGAAGTTGAAACAAGGGTAAAATATATTTAGGTTGGAGTAAAGCATGGAGCTAAAACTATGAAGTTGAAGCAAGGATGAAATATATTTAGGTTGAAGTAAAGCATGGAGCTAAAACTATAAAGTTTAAACAAGGATGAAATATATTTAGGTTGAAGTAAAGCATGAAGCTAAAACTATGGCAACTTCTATTGGTTTGGACCAATATCCAGTAAAACTAGTTTGGGGGCATGGTCTAGGCTCTAAAGATCCATCCACTAAAAATAGGTGATGAATTTTACTTTACATACGGTGATCCCCAGGAAACAATGGAAAAAAGTCTTCGTTATTGTTTCGTATCATAACGGATGTAATTATAAACTTTGACTGGAATGTACAGTACATAAAACTCTGGAATAGGAAAACGATTATTAGAACTAACTTATATTTAACAAGTTTAATGAACATGAAATTGAGCAGTTTACACAAATTTATTTTACTTTTACATCAAACCCTAGATACAAGATCTATATATTTTATGTGTCACCTAACAAGATCTCAGTTTTTAAAGATCACAGAGTGCTGAAACTTCAATAATAGCTAAGAAACCAATTGACCGATTTGCCTTAAGAATTTCTTATGAAAAAGTAAAAAGTCTAAAATGGCTGCCCTTGAACAAAGCATTACCAAAAAAAGCATTTGGTTTAACATTTTATGAAGATATTTCTTGCATTTTTTCTCTCTAATGTACAGGGCTACTCACAAAGGATGAGACTGTAAAGACGACCAGAAACTATTAAAATATGACAATTTTAAGATTAAGTTAAATTTACAATTGCGAATAATCATTAATTTAAGGAAACAGACAGTTTATTCTTTCTGAGCCCGCGATTTAAAAGCTTCGGCTTGGGCCGTAATTCCTTAAACCCGACTTTAAGACCCAATCTTCGATCCAACTCTGACGACAGCTTCTGCCACGTGATTAATAGCTGCAAGATCTTCGGTTCGACTTATGGAGTTAGGCCCAATGAAAATAAAACCGGTTTTAGTGGAGAATAAGGCGCAATGGTGAGTCTAGTCCTTATTAAAACCCAGAATGCGCCGATTCCAACCATGAAAATCCGCCAAATAGAATATTAAACCAGAGCTGAAAACTTTTGAATGGGATATCCTTAATCCTGATCGGATGATTAATCTGGAGATTAAAAATGAGAGGAGAACAAGCAACATTTAATCTGGAGATTACGAAAAAGAGTGGATTCAAAAGTTCCCAGCTCTGTTATATTATATTTGTATTCAACTCTGTGGAACATAAGATGCAGCTTGAATCCGAAAGCTCAAGTCGTAAATAAGTCCCAACGACAGCTCGATTTTTTTTTAATCGCGGGCTCTTCTCATTCTTTATGGGTCTGTATTGATGTACAGGGTGTCCCACGAAATATGACTGTATGCAGGACGACTTGAATATCGTCTTGATTTTTGATATAATTTGCTGCGTTTATTTGTCAACCTAATTTTAGAAGTAAATTTCTAGAGATAATAATCACAAAATTTCCCTTGCCCTGCCATTTCCAAAATGTGGTCTGCCTTTTTTGAGCTTTCAATATTGCCCGAGATATGAATAATTTCGTTCAGATTTCGACAATTTTGCTTTTATTTAACAAAATTGAAATCTGAACCAAACTCTTTATATCTCAGGTAATATTGAAAGCACAAAAAACGCAGACCACTTTTTGGAAATGCCAGGGCTAGGAGAATTATGTGATAATTGTTTCAAGAATCATACATGTTAAAGTAGATAGAAGACTAAATGTCACAAATAAATTCAAATTCCAAAGACGACTTTCAAGTCATCTTCCTATTGTCATTTTTCGTGGGACACCCTGTATGTATCTTTATATTAAGAAAATGAACCAATATCAAAATCTAATAATAATATATTTTATAAAAATCTATTTTAAAACGTTTCTTAGGTTTTCTGATCGTACAAGTAACATTACTTTTTCAGCAATGGATGATGCAAAAGCTAGGTAAATAAGTAAATGACCAAATTTATAAATTATGTCAACAACTATTCATAATCATAATTATAATCATAATTGGTTAAGCGCAAATAATTTTAGGGGATGCTGATTTGGGTAAATAGTATCTAAATTATTTTTTGGGGGGGGGAGGCACTTCTCCAATTGGTAATAAACATGGGAATTCAGTGACGAATTCGATATCGTCTTTTTACATAATTCTTTGATTTAGTATAGTGATACCTATTGAGAAAGCTGTAATCTGTAAGAGTTTCGTCTGCTATGTTCACATTTTGTTTGTTTATGTTTTGACTGTGTACGGTTGTACTTAGTAAAACAAGAAAATTACAGTATACAAACAGAGTAAACTTGTCCGTATTCACTGTTTAAATTGCGGAGACATTATAGACACACCTTGACAGTCTTTTACCCTTTTCATAAAATAAACTCTAGAAGACATAATAATATTATGACTTTTGAAATTAGGTATTGCAATGCCAATTCATAACAAAGACGATATCGAATTCGTCACTGAATTCCCATGTTTTTTGGGACACCCTGTATAAAAATGTTTTTTTTGCCGGCAATGGGTGTAACAATTAACAAAATGTTGCATCCACCCCCCTCTATTGTGCCTACCACCCCCCCTCATCCCCCTTTTCCCACATATATGTGATGAAATAAAATCCATTTTTAAATAATATTCAAAGTAAAGGTAAAGGAAATGAGCCTTTTAAAAAAACACATTTTTATATCTCTATATTATTGCAACCTGATGATTTAAACCTTTGTTTGTTAATCTAACACAATTCATTCAGTCAAAGTTTGTGAGAAAGATTCAATTCTTTTTTCACAATTCTCTATATGTATACACGACACCCACAAGGAAGAATACTGTACAACCACTTCCTTCAAGGGAGTGTTCGCGAAAAATAATAGCATGTATTATCGAATTACAATTCGATATCAGTCTATACCCCTTTCATTTTTTCGCGAACACTCCCTTTAAAATCACAAAATATAACGATTACAATGTTAAATTAAGTTAGTCTGTCTTGAATATTGTCTTTTAATGACCTATTTATTGACATGGCAACAGAAGAGTTACAGAGAATCATAGACATAAGAAAATAGACAGTTTAATACGTACAGTGTTTCTGAAGTATCAACCTTTGCGAGTAACCCTTAATTATACATACATAGATGTATCTGCTATGATGCCAGGGGGCATGGAGAAAGTCATGGTTGGGAGGAAACTGCTAACAATATGTTCCAGGTCAATTTTTGAAGAGTAGCCATAAATTTGTAGTAAGAAAATTAAATATAACCTCATCATTTAATTACGTTGATTTTAAAATGTCAATATAAGAATAATGCTGTTTCGCTACTTAGCGATTTCCCTAAAGACCTAATATATGTACCGTGTGGTATTTCTCA